GTTGTTGTTGTTGTTGTTGTTGTTGTTGTTGTTGTTGTTGTTGTTGTTGTTGTTTGTCATTGGTCTTGTCGCTGCGAGTGACGGTTCAGAGTGTGGAAAAAAATTGGAAGGCAATAAGCCAAAATGTGACAAGCTTCTTGCCACATGTTTCTTGCACTTTGGTATTATTGTTTGGCCTGATTCCGGGTGCATAGCCACCAGTCGAAAGGTTTCAGTTGGTTGTTTCAAAGCTCTGTGATGTTGTAGCTGAATGTTATACAATGGGGGTGACAGTCAACGTTTCTGTATACTCTCCGGCTTGTGGCAAGCGCATGGTCGTGAGTCAAAAGCATTGGTGTTTGCACTGTTTGGGATGGTGGTTTGCGAAGAACAAAAATATATATAGCTCGACAATCATATTTCAATGAATTGCAAGGACAAAGGGTGGCGCAAAGCCTGCTGCCAACTTAATGCCGGATCCCATCCTCCAGCGCTGCCAGCTTCAAAGCCCAAGCCTTGCTTTGGACACCATGTGACATGTAACACCAACAAATATTGAAGACTACCAACTTTGGGTACAGGGTGACTGGATGATTCTGTATGCTGTAATTTCAGCTTTAGCTAAGCTGTGGCAGCGGCTGCTGCACCCATGGGCGATGTAACAAGTGATGCACGCACTCCTAAAAGTCAAAGTGAACATTCGCAAAGACGAAGTTGGACTTAGCTTTGGCTTCATAGTATACACCAGAATCACATTCAAATTCGGCGTGTGGACAAGTAAAATCACTGACAGCTGATCCTCGGCCACGCTCCAGAACAGCAACGTGGCCCACCTGCACTTGCAAGTGTCTTGTGTGAAGCAACTCTGCTCACAAAGTGCACGATTCCAAAACAAGGAAAGTCGTCATGTAGATATGATAGACTGTTACTAAATCTTCTACAAATTAATCTTTGTACTATACTTGAAGATGACTTCACCGTCGACAACATGAGAAAGTTGCCTTCTTGCTCGTCGACCACCGTCAGTCCAATCCCTCTTCCACATGCACTACGGGCGCGAGCAACCAGATTTCAGCCAAACTCCAGACTCCAGCCCCCCTTGCATGGTGGTTGAAATTGCACCACCCGCTCATCTCCGAAGGACTATACTGAGGACCTGGGTCAACGACAGTCCACACTCTTCAAGTGTTCGGAGAGTCTCCGGAGAGTCCGCCAAAGCCGCCTGGCTAAACTGCACAACCATGAGGCACAAGTCCAATAAGGTTCTTTCGCCTCAAAAGCCCCGCAAATCTAATGCAACTCACGTCGCCTGCCAGTTTTCGATTGCTGCACACGTCTTGTGAACCCGGCCTCCACTACATAGGGAGTTGACTCCCTGGCAAGTAACAAAACGAAGAGCACAGGTCGTATCCACCGTCGCAACTCACATAGTGGTATATATGCCACAGGACCCTCGCTTGTGAGCGCTCTCCCTCACCAAGGTCTGGGTTCACCCTATCAAAAGTGACCGCTCAGCGACCACCCCACCCCCACAACCCCTTAACTCACTTAGTTCGCCCTAAAAGCTCAAGCCTTGCCTATCGGCTGGCTTTCGTAATATGTACATAAATATACATAAATAACATGTCTGCATGCATTGCGTGCACATGATGGACGAACCTTGCGACGCAGTTGGAACATGCCCCACAAGCCACTTTAAATGGTGACAGAGATCTGAGCTCTTTCAGAGCAAGGACGGGCATGCAAAACTGCAAATGCTGAAAGCACTTTCCTCAAGACAGGTCAGATCTGCCCACCGGCATCTGGCATTGCAGATATCACGATTCCGTGTTTGAACTATGTAGCTCCACAAATAGCCAACAAAGGGGTAGTTTGGCTGGGGCCTCTAGGGCTAGGGAGCCGGCCTCAGTTCTTACGAAAACTATGCCAGCATAGACCCCAGAAAGCTAAAGATATTTGTGGGCAGCAAAATGTCGTGCATTTTCTTTTTTCAGAAACGTCGTTCTTTGGGGTTGCAAAATGTCGTGCAAAATGTTCACCCGCCTACGTTGGTTTCCAGCGGTACGCCTGCCGTAAGCAGGTGTCGGACGACTGCCTGGCACTCTTCGAAGACTGTCTACGTGAAGAGAGAACATCACAAACTGCTTCGAAGCAACAAAGGGTCCAGCGCTTACAGGAGACTTCTATTTAAATAGATATAATAGATGCACGGGAAACTTGGAAAATCAAACGAATCTAGAAGTATGAAGATTCACCATGTTTTTTGTCACAGTACAAGTTGTACAAGCGCCACAAAAAGCAAAGCACATGGCACACATCAAGCTACAGTAATTTTCCTGCTGATGACCCACGTTGCGGATCGTGCACTAATGTGAAACCATCTTCCGTGCCTCAGATCTCGGAATTGCAAGTGTGAACTCCACAGATTTTCAGTGAACGGTCAGATTGATAACATGTAACCTTTGACAGTCAGCAACTCGTATCCTAAGCTGGAGGAATTGAATGAACGTTAAATGTCGTGGAAGAGGTGTGGCAGGCTGGAGCAGACCAGACCAGGAACGAGCAAAGGGCTGTACTGGAAAGCCCGGAAGGACCAAGCAAAGGCCTTTCGAATACGTTATCTCAACTACTGCTCTTCCGGCCTTGGGCTTTCAGTGAACTTGCACCAGCTTGGTGCCAAATTGAATATGCCGAATGGCCTACAGGGCACAACAAGGCAACATTCTGCACTCTGCTTGTTGTGAAACAAGTGCAATTTAACTGGAGTTGCCTCGTTCTCCAACTCATGCACCATCTTGGCATTCCGCACTGCTTTTCCAGCTTGTTCCTCAGCTTGCTGAAACTCTGCGGACAATGCGCAGGGGCGCTATCCGTGCCTCCACTTGTCGAATGTCCCTGACTTCAGTCTCCTGAAGCGTGAAAAACACCCACTCTCAGGCTCTGAAAGCATGTTTATATACTTGAAGGTTTGAACCATGTCTGCCAGAAGACCCAAGAAGTCTGCTCTCCTGCATCTCCTTCGCCTTGCGAGCCTTTTCTAAAGCCCGCTCTGCCTGCAACTCTGCTGCCTCAAGAAAGAAAAAAGGCACCGCGGCACCATATCGGCTAAACCACTGTTCTATGGCAAAGTGACCAAACACCCAGCCAAGAACATTGCCCACCGGTAAGTTCTTCTGGTCACAAGCTGGTTGTGCCTTGGCCGCAGCTTCTAAGTGTTGAGCTTTGGCAGCCTGACCAGCATTGCAGCTGGGCAAGGCAACGGCTGGAAATTAAGTCGTGCATCGGCACCGCAACGCAAAAGACAAGGAAATATCTCTGCACTCCAACTCGCCTCCTCAACTGCTGTGCGTTCAGCCTCCTTGGCCAATCCATGTGTTTTCTCTGCAGAGGTCACGCCATCATTTGGCACCTTACTGCTGGTCATGTGTGTCAATCTGGCTTCACTGGCATGACATTTCTTAGAGACCTAGCAACGAACAACCGCTCTTCATCGCCCCATCTCGACACCAGGCACTTCACCCGGCACCAAGCAGTTTCCAAATGCAAGAACACGAACTCACATCCTGCCATGAAAGAGCGTTGAAACCTGTGCATGGTCAGAAGTCCTTTCAGGGCTACTCAAGTCGCATAGCACTGCTAAATGTCAGGCATTGGTTCTGAATAGGATTGCTATCACGGAAGCGAGAATATGATGAACAAGTCAAGTTCTGACCACGGTGACAGGCACAAAAAAACCGTTACAAACTCATGCTCATTGCTTTCACGTGCCAAATAGAACAGGAGTGAAACCGACCAAACAGCAACCACACGGAGGTATTAAATGGAGCTTGTATGTGCATAAGGAGGGTGCGACGGAGGCCTCGCGGAGCCAAATGTAGAATGCCAAGTGACTGTAGAACCGTCCTTCTGGGGGATCCTGATGCAAGTGTCCAAACCAGTATGTATTTGTGCACAGTATTGGTGGAAAGTGTTAATGGAATTGAAACAGTGCTCAGACTGAGCGCAAAAAGAGGCCTTGAAAGCAACTGTATGCAGCAACAATTTCTTGGAAAGCATGTATTATAAAGGCCGAATGTATTTTGTCTTTCTTAGATTAAAAGGCAACTCAAAATGACTCCAACGTTTGCCAAAAGCTCTGTGCAGAGGCCAAATCACATCGCCAGTTCTTGCCAAGCTTCTCCATCGCCTTCCCAGCACCTGGCGCGCCATCTTCAGGCTCCTTGAGATTTCAGTGTGGTAAACCATTTGAAGGATGTCTAAAGCCTGAATTCACAAAAATATTCAGGGTTCAATTCCTGATCAGCCTGGCATCCGCATGTATAAGAAGCCTGCTGCAAAAAGGTCCACGTGCTTATAACATGCGTTGGTGCGGAGCCTGCGATTATCCACCAAAAAACTGCAAAACATTTGATTTATGTGTAGACTGTAACGCACGACGTTGCACATTGCAAAACTCCTGAAATTTATGTCTACTTTGACATTCATTAGAGACTAGAGACCGATGTGAAAAAGAAACTGTGAAATAGGTTGGATGGGTCGCTGGAGCAATCAAAACCTAGATGGACTTGGATCACAGAAGTGTCGATTAGTCCAATCTGGCTCTTACCGACATCTGCTAGCTGCTTGAAATCTGTAGTAGTGAAATTTTGATGAGCAGCTTCATAAGAAGTTGTGTGGCGATCTGTTGTTACCTGCCTCAAATGAAATCCTCCAACCCAGCAGCTAGGTATATGACTCAAAAACCCTGTCCTCATCCTGGCCACTTGGGCTTTCAGCCGAACCTCAAGAGATAAGCAGAATGACGGATGACATCTCGGTATTTCAAAATATCATCAATATGTGGTTCAAAATATGTGTTTTTCTTTTTTTTCGGTTCCCAAAAAGAGCCAAATCGAGCTGCGAGAGGTTCTTAAAGGAAGCTCCCACCTGCCCTTGGGGGAACTTCCTTGAAGCCTGAGCTCTTCTAAGTGGCTACTAGTAGCTTCCGTGTTGCTGCTTACCCCTTGCCACGAGCTACCTAAGCATACTACAGGCTACCCCGAAAAGGAAATCTATATACTTAATTGCAATTAGTTCTAATTACGCCAAGGCACTATCTTGGTTCTTTTCTGGCCTCATGGAGGCTTTGGACTTTCATTTGTCCTCTATTCAGGCCTTTCATGCTTGCTAGGTCTTCGGAGTCTTTCATCGGTTGTGTCTCTCCATTGGGTGCAGCGACAATGAAAAGGATTCAGAGTTCAGCAAAGAAGCTCAGGTGGATGATCACCAAACAGATTGAATTCTGACCTGGGCAAGGGCAAAAACGGTCTGTATCAAGACGTGCGTCGCGCAGCTTAGCGGCTTAGCAAAATATCTTAAACTTACACATGAGTTAAGTTTCCCTAAAAATCTAGAAACCAAATCATTAGTGCGAGCTCTATCCTGCATCCATAGTAGTATATAGCTACTTAAGCTACTAGCTATATACCTACTGGCTACCTACCTAGCTAACCTACCTACTAACGGCCTACCCCCCCAAAAGAAAAAACAAACTTGCTTTTTGTCTCTTCTGAAGTAACGAAAGAACTCCTCTGCATCCTTGCACCGGCCTTGCCCGGTGCCCTGCTTGCAGCTGGGTGGCAACGGCGAGTCGAGGTCGCCAAACGGATGCTTTGATGGGACTGACCTGCCTAGCGCGAGTCCTTTCAATTATGCGTTTTTTGCAAAATTTTGGTGATCCTCAAGAAACCCTGGAGACACTACCAGGTTGTACCGATGACGCAAACAAAATGTGACAAAGAAACTGCGAGTCCATGTTTCTAATTAGTGCTCTCCTTCTCTATGTTCCTTTTGCTGGTTTCGCAAATGCTGAAAGCTCACATTGTGGGAAACATCAGGCAGGATCTGTCCAAGAAGAAACACACTCTTTTGGAAGCTCAGCTGAGGCACGGCAAATGGGCATTGCTGAAAAGGTCAAACCTGGGCTGAAGGAAGAACTCAGTTGGTTGAACCAAACCAGTAGATGTGGACAGCAGGGCTGCTGTAATATCTCCAATTTCATGAAATCAGGTTGGGCTCTTGCACTGGGAATTGCTTTTTCAACTCTATTTTGCGGTAAAGCCTCTAGACTCTAGTCGAGGTAATTGAGGCACCGTTTGAGATAGGTCAGTGATCCTCATGTTTCACAGAAAAGCGTATGACCCTACGAAGCGTCGTCTACCTCACGAAGCAAGTGATCAGAGGGAGCCTGCTGGCTCTTGGATTTAGATTTAATACCGAGTCCTTTAATCTGAATGTTATTATGCAGGGGAGTGCGGCATGATTGTGGGAACGCACTCAACAAAGCTACCACAATCATGCCGAGCTTGATCACCTCAGCGTACCTGCACCGATGTTGTGAATGTTGTAGCCATTTTCCAATCATAACATTCAAATGTGGTCTTCAAGGCTGTTGCAGAATGACTCAGGTCAGACATGCGTTCGCCGCTCGATCTTCTGATGTTATACAATTGGAGCCTTTGGAAACTGTTGAAACCCTTTGAGACCCTTTAAACTTTAGGGCCTTTCTGTGATGGTTGGCCTGCCTTGCATACTACTGTACCTGTTTTGCTCCGGCAGTTTGTTTTACTTAGGCTTTTGTTTGCTAGGCATTGGGCGACCTTCGTACGTACTTTATCCCTTTATCCCGAGTGTGTGGCACAGGGATCATACCAAAGAGTGTGAGGCCCACTGAGCTTAAGCTGTCCACATTTCCAAATATGCGACAAACACTTCTGGCTATCTGCTCGAGGCTGTCAACAATGTTGCTCAAACATATGGTTATGGCCCGCTCAAGGCATTCATTGGCTCAGAGTTTGACATCACGAGATTTTGATTTTGTTGGTTTCTAAGGTGCACACTTTGGACCCTTCTCTGCGGGCACCGTCGGAGCATTTGGCCTCTGGTCCTGATCAACTCTTGGCAACCCTCAAAACAGAACGTCATAATCATAATCAACAAAAAAATATATGCTCCACATAAGAAAACTACCGCCTCAATACCCTAGTGTACTAGAGGTACCATGCGAAACAAGACTCCTCAATTCTTGCCGGCCTGTATCTGATATCTGAACAACATCTGCACCCAAACATTCCCCACAAAAGCCTCTGACTAGTCACACACACTCAGCTTCCTTCCTGACCAGCTATATACTGAGAAAGTATGAAAGCACTTGTGTGGGAAAACAGGCCAGCGCCAGAGAGAAAATACACCGAACTAGCAAGACTTCACAAGCACCCATCATTATCATCATAAAGCCGAATTCATATTGAATGGCCAAATTTGCCGGTGCAGCGGGTAGCCTCACTCATCTCAACTTCCTCATCTTCCTTGGCGACTCTCAAAACGTGCGAAAGGTTGCAAAATTCACCAGGGAGAACACCCTGTGAGGCTCTGCTGCAGCCAAAGCGTCTGACATCTGCGTATTCTCTGATTTCCCAGTC